AATTACAGAAAATTTTGAAAAAAAAAAAAAAGTTTTTTTTTTACAGTATGTTAGGAAACATGTATTATTACACAGTTTTTTGGTAAAATATAAAAGACCGGGTCACGTCGGGTAAATAGACACCAAACATGTCAAGCTTTAAAATTGCGCACACCCGCGAAATCGCAGAAAACTACCATACCAAAAATTGGCTATATGCGACACTTTAAAAGCTTTTACTGCTCATCAGTTTAGTGTTATCAGTGTTAGATGGCCCAAGAACTATTGCTCTCACTCCGACGTTCGCGGCGTAATCGTCTTTTTTGCACGTATGCGCCCCCGACGCATGTTTGCATGCATGTATGTATGGGTGGGGACCTTAAAACATTTTTTTTGTTTTTTTCTTCTTTTTTATGTGTAACTTTAAATTTTGGGGGGGGACTTAATTTTTTTTTCCACTAAACTTTATTGCTATCACATACGGGGGCTAATAAAACCCCCCTATGTGATAGCAAAATATGTGACTCGCCATGCTGATCCCGGGCTCGCACCGGGCACAGCGGAGCCCGGGATCAGCGGGACAACGGCGGAGGGTGAGAACCGATCGGCACCCCATACACGCGATCCGCCGGCTGTCGCTTGTATGGTAACAGGCATCGCTGCCTGTTTTTAAATATCGGCCATTTCCCGCTCGGAGAGGGGGCGTGTCTGAGCGGAGTCTAAAGACGCCCGCTCAGATCTAGAGAGCTCCGGGCCGGCCGTTTTTTTGAGAGGAGTTGTCTTAACGGGTATTTTGGCAGACTTGACAACATGAAGCGTGGTGGAGGTGGACTTTAAGAAAAACGCTCCTACTTCTTATATGCAGCTAAGTTTCTTATTATATTTATCACTAATATTACATTGTTACATCTATTTGTTATTACTTAATTAAATGTTTTATACAGTTTGATTTTACCTGCAAGTGTTTGTGGTTATCTCTCTTTGCACATTTCGAAACAAAACTCTAAACACATTCTAGTGATAAAAGATCAGGCATACAATATCCATAAGCCCATACACACTGGTAGAGCAGGGAACAGGCATACATTTTTAATTATGCAAAGCCTCATCCAAAAAGTTGTACTTCTCCTACTGTTGCAGCTGTAGGCAAATGAGAGACAGACTCTAAAGGAGAATAGGAAGAAGCATGTTCATGTCCCCTGCATTCTGAGTCCACTATCACAGAAGTGACTTTAGCCATGACATGGTTGTAGAAAACTCTTCTACAATTGTAGAGTGAGGACTCAAACTTAGGGGAGCTGGGGAAGACTGCAAGGAGTGTGTGGTCTTCAGCAGGGGGCAACTGTCTGGACTGTCAGAGTCAGGCTCCTGGACAGGTGCGACACAATCTGCCCTTGAGCTGTTAGTAGATTAGGAGCCCGCAGGACCTCTCCTTCTGCGCCTATCATCCCATACACTGCCAGTGTGTAAGATTGCAGGTCCCACAAAAGGTACTCAAAACCAGCTGCAGGAGCAGTGGAGGATATATGACCATCTGTGACCTCATCACTGTAAGGCAAAAGCAAGCCCGTGGCTTGTTTCTGCAGAGAAGCATGGTGGAGGTGGTGCAGGCTTTGGGTGGAAGGCGGGAAAGGCAATGAAAGCCTGCACAATGCAAACCATTCAGAACAATAGCATCAGCTAGCAACTGAACCTAGGGAGGATATGTGCAGCTGTTGTTAAAGTGTTTAAAGACTGGGTCTGAACGTGTGAATCGACTAGTCAATATTAGGGCAGAACGGAGAGTGGCAAGACTGGTACAAGACAACAGAAGGGCAACAGTGCAGTGTCGGATTCCTCGCATCACCTTTCAACATCTCGTGGCGTCACGAGGTGGCCCAACAAAGGTGTACGTTTAATAAACTGGGAAAGAGTGTGATAAGCAGTGAGAAGGCTTTTCTCACCTTAACAAAGTGAAAAGTCTAGAAAATGGTGTTTAATAACCAGTGATAAGTCAGGTAGGAACTGAAATATCTCACCTCTTCTCATCCTGGTGATAAGCACACAGAAAGTAATGGGAATGTACCTGTTTAATAAAGGGAGAAAAGTAGCGAACAGCCTTATCACTGGATAAGTATTGTGAAAAGTACCCTTGATTTAGCACCCTGTCAGACCTGGTGATAAAGGCTTTTTTCTTGTGAAACACTGAGCAAAGATACAGGAACTTGTCATAAACCTAGTTCCTTTAGGAACCTTCAGGAACAGTTAAAATAAAGCACAGATGCTCCTCTTCTGGATTTCTGACATTTTGGGACATGCCCAGGTAGGCTGAATGCTGATTGAAGCCTGTGACACACTGCAGGCGATATATATATATATGTACATATATTATATAATTAAATATATGATCTATATACAAGCGTTCAGACGTCTGTAGAGACGCCCGATCGCTTGTAATATGCGTGCGTTTGTGCGCCCCCCTTCCGTTGCCGCCGCTGCTGGCGATCCCGAGCTCCGCTGTGCTCGGACAAACTACAGTGTAGACAAGCTGCGGTGCGAAGTGGAAAGTTGAGATTTTTTCGCTTCGCCTGCAGTGTGTCACAGCCTTGAGGGGGAAAAGGAGGGAAGTCTGTCTTAATGTCTGTCTTAATGAGAGTGACAGTGGCAGTTTCAAGTCCCCTCACTGTATCTGTGTAGTGTGAGGTAAAGTTCAGTAAGGTCATGTGACCTTAGGGCTTGTTGTTGAAGGCTCAGTCTCCCTCAGAAACAGGCCCACCAAATTAAGCTTGAAGGATGTCTGGGGAGCATATTTACAGGCAGATGCAGTGAACATTGCACTCCACACATAACAGTCTGTAAGACCATTTCGCCACCATGGTCCGCCGTTTATAATGCATTAATACCTGCTGCTAGTGTGTTTGCACACACACAGTGCTGATGCACCTATCTCGGGACAGCAGGATTTTTTCAGGTACGTCAAACATTCTAATTTCCAGCATGTGTCAGAGTGCCCACTTACATTGCTTGGCTTCATCAGAGTGCCCCTTTAGAATGTTTAACCCAATCACTGCCTCGCATTGTGGCCGCCTCTGGTAGTTTGATTCATGTTTTTGTACTGGTACATGCTGAACAAATCGGAACATGTAAATCCTGCTTTTTAGCAATTTTTATCATTTTAACAGATAAATAACTGTTGCACTTTGCTATAGAGTTGCTTTGTAATATTGTTATTAGGTGGTTTGGCAGAGTAAACTATGATCCTGTCAGGAGGATTGTAGATTATGACAAAGGAGGTCAGTGTGCAGCTCAGTATACGTTCCCCGCATTGCTTTCTCTACTGATCACCTTGACGACTTATCTCAGCCTTTCAGAGCTGTTTCGTGTGATATGTTTTCTTTTCGCAGGTTAATAAACAGCCTCTGTGCAGCCAAGTAAAACAAAGTGATCTGCTGAGTAAAGTTAACTCATGATAAAGCTAGTTTTATCACGTTTTTCTAAACGTACACCAAAGTCATCTCGTGGAGTCATCTCGTGGCCCAACGAAGTACTGATGGGGTGGTCATAATAATCTGGCCACTCAGTGTATATATCTGATTTGCACTACACAGCGGCTGTGTAAGTTTGCTAATAAAAATAAAAAATCTGATTCCTATCAGTCAAAAACTGTTGTGATATGGTTCCTGCATGTGATGTTTTTTTTGTTTTGTTTTGTTTTTTACCTTTTATACATAGTATACCCAAAAACAGTTATGACATCTATATAATTGTAGTTCTAACTCAAGTTTTTATAAAGCATGACAAAAAGATAAAAAAAACTACCATATGTATTATAGCAAACCTTAGGTACTCCAAGATTCTTCGGATTATCAAGAGAAGCTTGTCCTTGTTTTCGGTCATGTTCTGCTGTGTCCCACTTATTTTTTTCTGTTGCAAAATGTTCAAAAGCTTCCTGGCATGACATCCTTGACTTTTCAAACACAATCTTCTTTGTACGTGGTACAACATAGAGTGTTGGAACAAGCTGCCTAGGCTTGAATTCACTTTCTTCTGAGAAGTCCAAAGAGGAGTCACTGCCTAGGAAAGGTAAAGAGATAAGCTTAAAGTGACACTAAACGAAGGAGATAAAACTTAAAAATGCATTCAAGTACCTTAATTATTAACAAAAATTTATCTTATTTGTGTATCACTCAGCTGCAGATCCTCAAATCATCTCTGAATTCATGCTGTCCTTCCTTCTGGAGGGTCGCTACTTTTGTTGCCCATGGTCCTTGAGTGTGTTGTAAAGTATCCACCATTCCAAACTCGCTTCCGTGATAGACTACAATCTCAATACAAATTAGTAAACTAAACGTGAAATTGTAGTCCATCATGGGAGCGAGCTTGGAGTGGTGGCTACTTTACAACACACACAGGGAACATAGGGACCAAAAGTAGTCACCCTCCAGAAGGCAGGACAGTGTCAGCACAAATTCAGAGATGATTTGAAAATCTACAGCTGCATTGTTAAGATTTAACTCCTGAGTTTGTCACTTTAAATAAAAGCCTGGAACATCATTTCTAGAATATTTTACATTCTTGGTTTCAAAACACAAAAAGTGAAATCACATACAGATATGCAATATTCCAACATAACAATGTGAGCTAAAATATGCAGTTTAAATTAAAGCATATTGCTAAATTTAAGCATGCTGCTAATCACAACGCTATTGGGGAATACAAATCCTGGTTTCCATGTATTTTTCAATTTCACTTTCATACATAGATGTATGTATGATCCACCTGCCCCCAAAACAATAGACAGAGCATATGCTTAACCTGTAAGCTTGGTGAGGAGGGCTTAAATTCTCAAACTTAAATTTTCTAATAATGAATCTAAACCAAACAAATATACACTGTTTAGGAAACTATTAACTGAAATTTTTGGCGAAGTGCTTACAGTCATCTGGTCTCCAAACAGCTGGCTCCAACTCTCTCAGCTATGCTTCCCTGAACTTCCTGTTGAGTACAAGTTTACAAGGGCCAGCCCAGTCTCCAGCAGCTGTTGAACTAGCTTTGAGAAGAAGGGAGCGGGGAGCAGGGCAGTGGCTTACTTTGTCTTGCTGCACCTGTGTGTTTGTGGAGCCCACACACAGCTTACTTGTTCCGTAGGACCCTGCTAGGGAAAAGCGCCATTCTAAAATAGGACATCAGGCCAGGTCTCAGGGGACCAGCCGATTTTGACGGAAGCGATTCAAAAGGAAGTGATTTAATCAGCATTTGAAAAAGCTTAAAAACCTTTTGACTTTAATATCACTTTAAAAGTAAAATGGAAACTCTAAGAACCATTTATAGATGTGTCCGACATTCACTATATATGTTGAAATGATCATGCTTTATACCAGTCTCTATAGGGTCCCATACACAAGTTTGCGTAAATATTGGCCTTGTAAGTTGGCAAGTTTATTGCATGTTACCCTTAAATTGTATGAAAACACTATACAGAAGACAAAATGGATGACAACCTGTGCAGAACAAAAACTTAAAAACACATCATAAAGCTTAGGAAATACAACAGATCATAAGTGTTTAGTTCTGCTTAAACTTAAGAGGGTACTTAGCAAAACTTAAGCGCACATACGTCATCACAAAATCCTGACTTCTTTTAGTCTTTAGTAGTGGGTAATAGATCTTGCAAAGCAAGACCATTAGCTGCAACAGGAACACATGGCAGGCAAACCTGCCCTGTGCTTTTATAGCAGTATTTGCAAAATGCTAATCTGTGAAAACCGCTTTTTATACTTTAGAAATTGTTACTGAATTTGCTTTCTGTACTCCAACACATGAAGGTAATGGACAAAAGTGCTAGGACTTTTTGCCGCACAGCCCCTGGATACCAATACAGCAACTTCCAGACTTATAGACACTGGATAAGAATGTTGGAATTTGAAGTTTTACTGTCAAGTATGCTGTAAAGTGCACATCTAAGGTCAAAGTAAGTGACTTCACAGCTTCTCTAGCCAATAACCTAGCATGTTCATTGATATCCTTTTTTGTTTATAGATACTTCTGCAACTTGGCTGTAATGCTTCTAGGTGTCCATCAGATAACTAACTTGCATTGCATGGACACAGAAGCAATTCACAAATATAAAAGAATGCACACAATAGTAAAGAGAAAATAAATTTGACCATGATTGAGGTTGATTGAGGTTGCTTTAAGTTTGAACTGCAACCCCTCTAGGCGTGTAAAGGCACGATTGCAAACCGCGAGAATCGCGGCAAACTGCGCATGCGCGAGAATCGCGGCAAACGGCGCATGCGCGAGAATCGTGGCAAACTGCGCATGCGCGAGAATCGCGGCAAACTGCGCATGCGCGAGAATCGCGGCAAGGTGCGCGGGAAAACGCACAGGAAGTGAGGTAGCTGTCTGTGAGCCTTGGGACTATAAAAGGAGGAGCCAGCCTCTCTGGCATTGCTGATGGTCTTGTCAGCTTAGTGTTGTGCCTGTGTTCTGTATCTGTTACATTAGCCTGCTTCGACTCGGATTGCTCTGGACTATTCTCTGCTTGCTGCCAGCCCCTGACCTCGGCTTGTTTCCTGGATATTGAGTTTGCCTTACGATTTTTGTACCTCGCCTGCCCGACCGGATTTGACCTTGGCTTCATGACATCTCTTCACTGTTGTCTCCACGCAGTGGGTGCTTCCAGCCTACGGCACTCGTGCTCCTCGTTGCCCTGCACCCTTCTGTTCCCAACTCCAGGGGTCGCAGGACACGATTCGCAAGAGACGCCTCCCCATCTTCCAGTCTCAGCCTTAGGTACGTGATAAGGCGTCTGCACACATTACCTGTAGCAGTTTGCAAACCACCTTCCCCCCTTTATCCATGTAACAGGATATCTTTAAGCCTCAACTTTTGGATGAAATGGTAAAATTTATATCAAGTTTTTTCAGGAAAAAACTGGGCACATGAACCATTCTAAAAAAAACTACTGATAATGATTGAAGGCTCACTTTAACCCCAGAAAAAATGCAGTGTGTGTTAAAAAACAACAACCATACATTACATCTCTGCAGTACATATACATTTCTTATTTTTATATTTTAACCTTGATGGTATAGAAAAACCCCCCCACTATATTGCCAAAAGTATTTGGACGCCTGGCTTTACACGCACAAGAACTTTAATGGCATCCAAGTCTTAGTCCGTAGGGTTCAATATTGAGTTGGCCCACCCTTTGCCACTATAACAGCTTCAACTCTTCTGGGAAGGCTGTCCACAAGGTTTAGGACTGTGTCTATGGGAATGTTTGACCATTCTTCCAGAAGCACTTTTGTGAGGTCAGGTACTGATATCTGTAAAAAATAAGTCAAGGCAACTGGATTTGCTGTATTTTTGTTGAAGACGTTTCACTGGTCATCTAACCAACTTTCTCAATTCAGAATGACTTGTACAAAAATTCTCTATGGGAATAAATAAATGTTGTTCCAATCCACATAATCTTCAACATCAGGTACTGATGTTGAACGAGAAGGCCTGGCTCGCAGTCTTCGCTCTGTCATTTTACGTGGCTGAGTTGCTTTTGCTCCCACTTTGTTATAATACCACTAACAGTTGACCGTGGAATATTTAGTAGCAAGGAAATTTCACGGATAGACTTATTGCACAGGTGGCAACCTATCACGGTACCACGCTTGAATTCACAGAGCTCCTGAGAGCGACCCATTCTCTCACAAATGTTTGTAGAAGCAGTCTGCATGCCTAGGTGCTTGATTTTATACACCTGTAGCCATGGAGGTGATTGGAACGCCTGAATCCAATGATTTGAAGGGGTGTCCCAATACTTTTGACAATATAGTGTACCTGATGATCTGCCAGAAATGCATTGAGCTCTTAAGTCGTGTTGCCAACACACAATATTTTTGTGGACTAAGCAGTTTTAACCTTACCTAATCAGCTTAATTAGTTATGAATGTCTGCATTTTTGTGTTCTTAGAACTGTCCCTGAATACTGAGAACAGCCACATGTTTTGGATACCTGTCTACAGAACCTTTTTAATTCTTAGAAATGTTCATGAATTGTAACATCAACTTCACATTAAAATCCTATTTTTGAAAGGGAATGTTAAAGTAAAACTAAATTGTGCATATTTGCACATTATGGCATATTTACCTGCTAAAGGGATCCCTAGAGTGCTGTGATGTCTGTGCTTATCCTTGTTGCTCTGTTGCCAGAACTTTCATTTTCTCCCTGTCTTCTTATGGGTTTGGAGTCTTTGGCCATCCGGAATGGCTGGGCCAGGATGATGTAACTTCCTGCATCTGCAGATTCTGAGATTGTACACCGAGTTACGCATTAGCGGTTGTCAGGGTACAATTCATTAATAAATTCTAGCAGGCAGGTGGTGAAATTGTATGGCAGAAGAGAAATATACCTACCTGATAGCAATTTTATACTGCCCAAGTTTAGTCCTGCTTTAATGCCCAACTCCAGACTCAGTATTTTTTTATTTTGGCCCTTTGCGTGCCTATTGTTATGCTAATAACCCAAAAGCGACTTCCAGTTTTATACTTACCTTTCACAAAATCTTTACTCCTGCTCTGTTCAATGCTTCCACCACCACTTCCTCAAGGACAACAATCCCTGTTGAGTGCCTTTGCCCAACTTTGTTTTTAGTGTGAACCATTGATAAGTAACATGTCCTCTGGTGAAGAGTAGAGAAAGCTTAATCAATCCAAATACAGTACACTTCATGTCCAGGTCGAATTTCTCCAGTGTAGCCCATAAGTAGTTACACTCGACATTGTGAAAGGCTTTGGCAGCCACAAGATCAAGTATGATTCTGACACCCTTGTCTTCTAAAGGGATATGAAGGTTTAGGTACGGTCTTCTAATGTTGAAGGCTGTGAATATATTTGGGATAAATCCCGAGAGGTCCTGGTGAGTTACCTACAACTCTAAGCAGCCAGTTGGCAAGGACTTTGCTATGATCTTTATGTCAGAAGGTGAGAAATGTGTCTGTAGAAGTCTAGTTGTGTAGACTCCTTTCCCAGTTATGGAATGACCACTGCTACTGTATGTCCCTTAGCAGGGTTGA